GGCTTATGTTTGTGATTTTCTTTTAATTCTTGAACTCCAAAGTGAATATTAAAAACTCTTGGGAGCCATCCATTGGGTTTGACAATGATTTTGAAAAAAAAGTTATCTCTTATTTCGTTAAGATCTCTCTTTTAGCATATACGCATTCGCATTTATTAAACACTAATCTTCAAATTTGATTCGCACAGTGATCTTATCATTTGTGTTTGTTTCATACACATTAACGTGGAAAGTGGCTATACAACAAACTAAAAATGAAAACTTTTAATATGAACTTCTTTTTGTTTACCACTTAAGTCGTAGGTACCTCTTAGAACAGAGAAGAAAACAAGAAGTCTGTGAGCGAATGCTCACTAGCAATACCCCACCCCCACCCCCCTCTGATATGAATATATGGTTACCCTCTCATGTTGACATCAAATTCATACAAAAATGAATCCCACCAACTGGCATGCCTAAACAAAGATTGTGCTAAAATTTCAAGCATCTTGCTGAGTAGTTGCTGAGAAAACTGTGACGGAAATTTGGTACAGGCAGGTGCGCGGATAAACAGAAAGTTGACGTCAGATTTAAACAAAAATGAATCCCGCCATATGGTATGCCTAAACAAAGAATATGCTAAAACTGCAAGCATCTTTGATGAGGAGTTGCTGAAAAAACTGCGACGAAAAATTTGTTATGGACAGACGCACTGATAAACAGGAACTTGATAACTAATTCATATAAAAATAAATCCCACCATTTTGCAAGCCTAAACAAAGATTGTGCCAAAATTTCAAGCATCTACGCTGAGTAGTTGCTGAGAAATATGCAAAGGAAATTTGGAAAGGACAGACGCAAGGATGAACAGGAAGTTGACATCGGATTCGAACAAAAATAAATCCGACCATATGGCATGCCTCAACAAAGATTGTGCTAAAATATCAAGCATCTGCGCTGAGTAGTTAATGAGAAAACTGCGACGAAAATTTGTTACGGACAGACACACAGACAGACAGACACACAAGGGTAAACAGTATACCCCCCTCTTCTTCAGAGCGGGGGTATAAAAATCTAATTCGCTCAATGTGACAAAATCTATACAAACATCATTGTATTAAACCAATAGCCTTATTCAGACGTAAATTCACCCCTTTCGTTAGAAGTAACGGAACAAGACATTATGGCATGAAAACTATTTGTAAAAGATTTCGAGCAGATAATTTACTGATATGTATCTTTCTTAGGTACAAGAGTTCACAAGTTTGCAATGTATTTGCAATTCTTTTGTCGAGAATGAGTAAATCCAAAAATGTACAGTTGTATGAAGAAATTTCCATGACGAATTGTTAGAAGTAGTAATTAATGGCTTGTTTTAGAATTTTCTTCCAAATTTTTTTGGGGATGAAAACTGGTATTGGCTACATGTATGTCTGAAAGAATTTCTCTGAGGAGTATTTCCGAGTAATGAAGACGAGATCTCTAATAAGATATTTGTATGGTAAAAACTTGTTTCAACTTATACGTATCATTTCCATACAATATAATTCGTGTCATTTTCAATTAATCGATGCACCATTTTCATTTTATATTACTCTGAAATTGAAATCAAAAGCATGCTGGAATTCCTCATTGACTTATATGGAATTTTTGGACACCGTTTTTTTTCCAAAACACTGTTGGAATTTCGATGGGTTCTAATTGTACTCCTTTATTGGAAAACCTGTTTTTATATTCCTATGAGGCTAGATTTATTCAAAAACTTGAGAAGAAGAAAAACACTTGCTGTAGCCTTCAACCTTGATATTCAGGTACATCAAGGACGTTTTATCTATTAACAATAGTTAATGCAATTCATATGTCGACTCGATATATCCCAGTGAACTGAAAATAAAAGATATTACAGAGTTTTCTACATCTGTTTTATAGTTTGACGTTTTACGGACTACAGACGATAAATGCAAACTAACAATTAAAATGTGTAAAAACAAAATGACTTCAGCTTTTCAATCGTCGACTTTCCTTATTTATATAGTAATATTCCGCTTTTAACTTCATGTGATGTTTGTGTCTCCCAACTTTTTCGATACTCAAAAACATGTTCTGCGTACAATGAATTTTTAAACCGAAATAGGCTACTCATAGATAAGTTGATGTTACAGGAATTTAAATATCCTCAATTTAAGTCAGGTGAATTCTGTGGTCGTTATAATGACCTTGTTCGCAAATATATCCTATGACTGAGTCGTATTTTGACCGACATATTTCATACCAATTGTTTGGCCTATGTTTGATATTGAATTCGATCAAAGAATGTTCCCTCTAATTGATCAATACAAAGTGCACTTGGTGGATGTGACAGGTCGACGGAGGATACTTACGTCTTCTAGGCACCTGATCCCACCCCCTGGAATTTCCGGGGATTCATATTTTGTGCCCTCCTAACGGATTAGTTATGATTTTAGGTGCTTTGAGATTGATTACTCCGTTTTCTTCATCTTTTTTTTATTCAAGTTTACCTGTGTCGTTTTTAGTGAATTTGTTTAATTTTTCTCACTTATTTCCTTATGGGTATTTTGGAAAGTTTATTAACATCTTAAAAATAACAACATATTCTAAGTATTAGGATTGTTTTAAGACATCAAAAACATGAGGTATATAAGCTTTCTCATTGTACTTGTTCGCAACTTGTATTAAGTAAAGCTTGACCTGGTCTCTTATCGGGGTTGAATTGTATGACCAATCATCATTCAGATTAGCGCCCACGCACTTTAACTCAGAACATCCAGTTTCACTTTGATTCTAAATTTTCTATGTAGACCTCAGAGCACAGGAATTTTTGAGTGGAATGTTACTTACATAAATATGATAAAATTTTGACTTAATTTTTATACTTGTACACCGTAGAATTTTTTTGAATATTTTAAAGTCTATCGAGTTTTTGACTAAAAATTGATTTTCGTTTTCAGTTATGTCATAAGTAAGCAAATCTACTCTCTTTTTTTTGTAATGATTTTAATCACCAATCGTGTCAAAAATTAATTCTTGGAAAGGAACGTGTCTAATATTTTTTTCCTGTTAATTATGGTACTTAACCCTATAAATTTGGATTGAAGTGTAACTCTGGATTAGGTTTGTAAATCTAAATGACAATTTCAATAATTTACTCCATATTTTATCAACATCGGGGAATATAAAGAAGGGAAATGAATGAGGATTTTATCCCCGACCTTTTGAATTTAAAATAAAATATATTTTGGTAATGATCTTTATTTTATCAAACAATACATGTCTTATCCAATCCGAGCTAGCATGGCTAAAATATCTTTTCTTAAATCTCAGAAAAAAAACAAACTTCACGATACAAATAAAGAAAACATGATAAATACAGTTTAAAAAAGTCTCTGAACTGCTTCAGACTGATGTATTTAAAAGCCTGTAATGGACTCAACAAACCATGGCTTTCTTTGTTCCATTTCCAACCTGTTGAGATAAATAAGAATACAAAATAGACTGTATACAAAGTATATCAATATTTACCTCCGATTTGCCTTGTATACATCAGATAAGATTTGTTTAATTTTTAATAAAATAATTTTAAAAAGCTAAAATATCTTTTTATATATAATTTAGATTTCGAAATACTTGAAAAGAATGTGTTATCATTCTATGCTCGATACAATGACCTTGTCAGCAAATACAATTTATCATTGAGTCAAATGCTGACTGACGTTTTTCATACTAATTGTTAGGCCATTATTTACACGCTGAATTGTCGACGGATTTTTCCGTTATTTCCTGATCATGACAAGGAGCACACGGCGGGTGTGACCGGTCGGAAGGGGATGCTCACTCCTCCATGGCACCTGATCCCACCTCTGATCTTTGGAGGTCCGTGTTTGCTCTGCTCCTATTTTGTATTGTTTCATGGACTTTTGAGCTTGAATACTGTTCGTTATCTCCATATATTTCATTATCAAGTAATTTTACAAAAACTCACATTACATTAAAAATTTACATTTTTTTTAATTGCTGAAATTTGATGAAGAGGCGATGTGCGATATGTTCCCAAGATAATCAATGGCAAGTACTCGCGTTAAGATGTGTATTTATAAATGTTAACCATTCAGCTTTTAACAAAGATCCGCCGCTTCAAACCGCACAAAACATTATGAAGGTGTAGACTGTGATATACGTGACAGAACATTGTATGGTAGCAGAATTTCAAAAAGAAATGAAAAAGACCAAATTACAATAGAGGGCAATTAATCCTACTGCAATTTCCATTTAAGGTATTCAATGTATAACGACCATATTTTGTACCTAAAAATGAATGGTTCAATATTTTTAATCACGGTAGCATTTTGAAGGTGTTACCTAATAAAAATGCTCCACCAAATGAATTTACAAAATTTTGATTATTTTCCAGTTAATTGCACCTTGAACTTTACATTGAAGTCTATGGGCAGTGCATGTTTTTTTAAGATATTGTAAAAAGTAATTTGAATTTCAAACAAATCTCTTGGTGAAAATAAGCATAAACTCTGTCTCTATTAATCTATGAAATAAAATGAATCATTTACCACAGAAATTTTTAGAAATTAAGAATTTTCTGATTTTAATCAAGGGGAGATAACTCTTCAAAAACTTTTAAGGTGCAAAATGACCGTCGTCTTACTTGTAATCAGTCATGTGAATTTGGTTCATTTCACTTTTATCGTTATCTAGCAATGCATTTTTAAATAGTTTAAATTTATTCAAAATTGATAAAAATCCCTTCATTATACATTGAATACCTTAAGCAAAGTGAGTTCCTTTTTTAATTGATATTTTTTAGATATGATCATATTTTTGAATAGCCATATCCCAATTCAAAGAGAATTGCAAGTGCAGTATACTTCGGGAAACAATTTGAATCAATCTGCACAGTTCGTTATTTTTTCTCTCCTCACTTTCATAATCTCGAATTGCAAATGGAGTTTTGCGGCGGCGGTTGCTATTAAAAATGACTGTTGCACCTACTAGTGTCGTTTGATCAACATCATCGTCTCCTTTATATATTCCCCACTTATAAATAGAGGATTCCAAGGACGGTACCAGTGCTGAGTAGCCCAGGGACCATTGAGGAAGGTGTTACCACACCTGTTAAACCACCAGCCCCCTGGCTGATCGATAGCACAGTTACGTGCAAAATTGTCGTTGTCTTTGTCAATGGTGGTGAAGAACATGCCATTAATAGCACCGGGGGAACCTTCTTTTTTTCTCATTTTGTCACCTGTACAAATACAAGTGTTAATAAAGTAGAACAATGTAAAATACAATAAAAAATACTTGGCAAAAGATTTCTTATGCCCCCGTATCGAAGATTCGGGGGTATATAGTTTTTGCCCTGTCCGTCCGTCTGTCTGTTTGTCCGCAAAAACTTTAACATTGCCCATAACTTTTGATTGGTTGGAGCTATCGTTTTCGTATTTCACATGTGTATTCCTTGTGACAAGACCTTTCTTCGGGTACCACCATATTTGACCTTTTGACCTTGAAGTTTGACCCAATTTTGCAAAAATTTTTCTCAACTTTAACCTTGGCCATAACTTTTGAACGGTTGATGCTAGGGCTTTCGTTCTTCAGATGAGTATTCCTTGTGGCAAAACCTTTCTTTGGGTACCACCATATTTGACCTTTTGACCTTGGAGTTTGACCTACTTTTGAAAAACTTTAACATCGGCCATTACTTTTGAACGGCTGTTGCTAGGGCTTTCATACTTCACATATATAATCCTTGTGACAAGACCTTCCTTTGGATATACCAACAACTTTGACCCTTTGACATTCACCTTGTAGTTTGACTTACTTTTGGAAAACTTTAACCTTGGCCATACCTTTTGAACGGTTGGTGCTAGGACTTTTTTCCTTCACAAATATAATCCTTGTGACAAGAAAACATTGAAGTTAATAATTAACTTGCAATCCGATGATTCGAAATTGATTTTTCGAAAAGAATTTTATTCTTTTTATATTTGGTAAACAAAATGAAAATATAATTATAGTACAAGTTTTGAAATGCCCCTAAATGTACAATAGAGCATTTTAAATTTTCATAATGTATATAAGGAAAGTTTAAAATGTTTTTGTTTTATAATAACCTGTTGCCATTTTTACGCATAGAAAATTTCAAAACTGAGTGTTATCTTGACAAACTGACAGTCTATATCTGCGCCTGTTCAAAAAGGCGCTGAGATGCGAAAAATTAGTAATTGTTCTTTTGCAAAAAGCCCGGTATTAGAATGAAAGTCTCAGGTCTTTCGAATGAAACAGTAGGCGTTTGCAGGGTAAAGAACCTTCACTTCCATGTAAAGTCTGAATTTGCAGCCCTTCATGGTATTTGATGACGCATGAGTTATATTCTTATAAGGGACTTAAAAAAAGCAATAATCAATCATTCAATATTTTGCTCCCTTTTCTTTTGAGAGCAAATTTTCGTTATCACATACCTAACGTTCCCGTGGAATTCCCAGTCAGGAAGAGTTGATACTTCTCAGTTTCATTGGAAACATAGAATTGATCATATATCTGGTACAGTTTTCCCTTTTCCTCATGTGTGATGGAGACATAGAGGTAAGTGTTCCTTCCCTTTGTTAACTGGTGGATGACGTCATTTCCTTTATTGATAAATAAAAAATAATTGATATGTCTATTGCAAAATCAATGGGTTTTCTCTCATTGAAATACTTCAAAGAAGAAACAATTTTTTTTTTTAAATTATTTCTTTTTTTAATTCATTCTTCAAAACTATTCCTAAGTATATGATTCCATTGTGGAAGGTGATCAAGAATGCTCATGTTATGAAAATGAAATTCATTTATCTGCCTTCCTCTGCTTTTATCTTTTTCTTGCCTTTCTAAATTTAATTTGACCATTTTGATCTGAGAGCTGATCAAGGATGGCTTCAATTGTAAACAAAATCATTTTTACCGATCCAGATATTCTTTTCCGGTGAACCAAAACCATTCTTATAATCAGCCCATTTCCTACCAAAATACACGGACCCATCTACCCTTTTTTGTATTGCCTTTGAAAGAAATGCATTTATTTGATATTTTTAATCATATTAATTGGAGTATTATAACAAGCAAAGGTTTAATTTAAATAAAAAACAAAGTCATGATGAAAAACTATATTAGTATTATCTATTAAGTTGAAATGATTCTTTATGTTCCGGATGGTGATCATATACACCTGTTCAATCTGTTGGATGGAGAAAATACTAGTGAAGCTAAATATATTTCTTAATTATAGATTGATAAAGTTAAGTAATAAAAACCGTCCATCCTCCTTCCATCGTCTCCATGTCACAGTAAACCTTCACAGGGCGGGAGATGTCTCCATAGGGATAAATGTCGTACACTCCTGAATTGGAGTGACCATTTTCATGAAGGTCTTTACAGTCTACAGAAAGAGCTGAAACAGAAAAATATAATTTAAATTTAAGATATATACCCTAGCAAGTAGAGGTCGATGTACAATTATTGAGAAACTGTTACATACAAACCTGAATTAGTGTTACAGTTCTCAGGGATTGTCTTACAATCTTCAGCAAGATCTGAAACAAGACAAAAAGAACTCCGTATATATAATTTTGGTTTGAGACAAATAATGTTTAATACAACAGGAACCCATCTTAGCTCAAGCAAATTTTTAGATAGAAATTGGAAAATAAACAATCTGAATTGGTATGACAAATCAACATTAATAGCTAACATGGGAAACGTTGTAGAGTAAATAACTTGATTACAAGAATTTTTTGTCTTGTAAAAATCTTTCTCTTTGTTTATTCAAATGTTTATCCTTTAAATTATTACTACAAATAAAACATTTTAAATTTTAAAATAATTGTACTGATCAGTTTATATATTGGAAGATACACAGATTGTACATTATTGAATCGAAATCATTATCAAAATAAGAGTTTACTTTTTATTTTTTTTTTATTATAGATTATAAAGGATATATACATAATAAAACAAGAATTACTGCCTCTTTGTCGAGAATTCTCTTGTACAGATTACAAATTAATAGGATAGGCTTTTGAAGCCTGAAGAAAATTAATAACTAAAATCAGCAACAGGATGAAGATAAATCGATCGTCTAGGTTTATGTGTGACTCATGAATTATTCAAAATATTTATTAAAAGCAAGGACTTTGGCTTCCATAATTTTTTTTTACCGATTTAATTATTTTTTTTTTTAATTTAATATTAAAAAAACACACATAAAGCAATTATATCTGTCCTTTGCTGCAGATATTTTTTGGATAGTTATGAGCACATAGAAGTCTGAATTTAACAATATACAAAATTGAGCAGAAATATGGGCATCATGGAATAAAAGTTAAAAAGACAACATTTATCAACAGTGTTATATTAAACGTCAAGATTATTTAGAGATAGCTAAACGACGTCCACATTTTAGAGAAATGTTTAGGTTGCTGAATGTGGTTTTTGTTTGGAGAAGAGCTTGGTCAGAACGTAAAATGTTCAAATTATTGATAATACATTTATTTTATTATTAAAATACGCTTGCATTAAACAAGGTAAAGTTTACTACTTTTCTATAAAAAAATCCTAACAAAATCCGTTAGAAATATAATTTATATAGGGCTAACGCTTTTTGTGGGAGGATATTCATAACAAAAATCAAAATTCACAATATTATTTTTTTTTATAATATTTTGCATCTGTCACCTAATACAGGATACTTCATGCAATCATACAAAAGCAGTTTTCAAAGCGTATTTGAAATGATATTTTAAGAACAAAGAGCTTTTGTGGAATATGCATATTTTGCCCCCAGCCCCAACCCCCCAAACCCCAAATCAAATTTTGTTTGTTTTTTTTTTCATTTTAAATTTGCTGAATTGTATACATTGTATGAACAAAACTGAATTAACAAAACATATTATAATTTCGAAGAAGGTTATTGGCAATATATTTTTCGATGTCATCACAAACTAATTGGATTTGTGTTATTTTCAGAAAGATGATTAAATACACAATATTTGTTCACTTTTTTTTCTATATAATTTATAAACGCAAACCTAATTCATAACAATTTTCATATATTTCATTGATATTATCATTCCACACATTATATCAAAATATATTGTTTTGGATCCAACCTGCGCTCAGTGTCTCTTAACTCAAAATATCGAAGTAATTTAAACCTTTTGTCTCTATAAATCAGGGAGAATTTGAAAAGACGTCTTTTTTCTGAGGTCATCCAACATGACGTCTTGGCTGATGAAAATTTAATGCTTTGAAGTCTGCAGATATCCATCATTTGATGAAGAATATAACTATATATATATCTCTCCGTCAAAGTTTAATTTTGGGGACAAATATTGGTCTTTACCGAATAAAATCATTTTACACATTTTTTTCCACCATATTCTGTAGACGTACAAAAGTCGCTATAAGCTTGACATTTGAGCCAAATCTCTAAATTGTCTTCACGTACCACGATTTTTCCCTTCTTTTTTTTTTTAAATTACAGGATATTTCTAACTTAATTAAGCACTAAATTAATTATAAAAACCTTTAATAATTATTATACCCAAAATGTTTTAACTTCAAACATTTTGTGGTGTTATATTTTTTATTTCATTTTTTGTTTGTTTATTGTTTAACGTCCCTCTCGAAAATTTTTCACTCATATGGAGACACCATCACTTGCCTGTAAAGAGCTGCAAATTTTGACCCAAACTCGGCACTCAGGGCCATTGAGCAATGAGGGATCTTTTTCGTGCCAGCACCAACTGCGACACGAGACCTCAGTTTCTACGGTCTAATCCGAAGGACCGGTCTCAATGTCCCACAGTGGGATTCGAACCCGCGACGTAAGGATCAACTCCTTACTCCGCGACTGTAGAGCAAACGCTGTACACGCAGGCAACTTTTTTAGTTGGAAGAAAAAAATGTTAGTTCTTTGGAACTTACTTTTGTGATTGGTAAACTCGGAAAAAACAAAGTTAATTTTCTTTACAGTTGGTAGAGCCATTAATTCTTAACAACAGAAAGTAAACTCCCGCCAAATAATTTTTTCACCGAAAAAGTTTAGTAGAATTCTAAGGTCACACAGTGGTTTACAAGCGTAAATTGGCAACAGTTTTTAATAATATATTGTATAAAAAATAAGTAACATAATTTTTTTTTACATTAATTGTCATGTTCACACGTGTTTATATTAATAGGGTTAAGTTTATAGAGTTACAACTGTATTCAAAAAGGTCAGGTTTTTATACTTTTTCCTTGTAATAAGCAAACTGGACCCCAAAATTTTCTTTTGGGTCTTCAATATTAAAAAATATATATATATTAAAATAGAATCGTAAGTGACATTTCTTAAAGATAACTGTGAAAAATAAAACATAAACCTAAAAGAAAATGTACAAATGAATATTTCGACGTGGTGACAGAGTTATTATAGCAGTGATCATTTAATATATACAGTAAATGATGTATCTTTTAATGCACACAATGATGTTTAATACAAACCTTGATGAGAATAATATCTCCAACCTGCCTCCTCAGACATTTCTGACGTGGATATCGTCTTGTGGATACGGCACTTCTTTATCGTAGGATTGTATCCAAAGACGATACAGTCTTTTTGACACTTCACCGAACAAACAAACAAAGTGTGAGCTTTGTATTCTCCCAGAAGTTCGTTATTGGGCTTTTTGTTATCAAATTCTAGTTTTGCAGTATATATCTTCGAAATAAAGGAAGCGTGAGATAATGTACAATAGACAGAAATGAAACATACAACCCAAACACTTCTCATATTAAAATCTTGTTTTAAACAGCCTACTGCGCTCCTGGAGGATTTTGCAAATTGATCTTACATTGCCAAGTATAAATGTCAGAGCCTTACTGAAAATCCATTGGTTAGTTGCTACGTATTATGTAATCTACTATTGCTTTGATTTGTTTGTTGTTATTTTTTCTTCAGTTTACGTCTGCTGGAATGTCAAATTTTCATATGGTCATATCAAGGTAATATAAGCAAATGAACATATTGTTTGTTGAAAATGTCCCACGAATTGCCTAGGTTTCTAAGCAACAGAATTTTCAGAGGAAAAAAAGCTCTTTTGAAATTCCGAGAACCAGCTACAAATTCTCAATAGGCGTTCAACTGAGGTCAGACCTGTTTAAAATATTGAAAGAAAAAGTTGGGGTTAGTGGTGTAAATTTTGAGATATTGGTCATAATATGCGATTTTCAGGCAAAAAACTGTCATTTTTTATTAAATTTTTAAATATATCTTCATTTCTTGGCAACGTCTGTTGAGTGAGTGTGTAAAATTTGTTCTAAAAATATTGAGAGTTATATTGAATATTCCTATAATGAATGGAATGGAGCTAAAGTTCGAAGATATTAAATTAACAAATGTGCAGATTTGAGAATTTTCTTCTACATATCTTTCCACCACAAGAAATAGTCCCTCATAAATCCTGCTTTTTAATGATTTTGTGAGCAGGGTTATCATTGAATGTTGAATAATTTGCATTGTTGAATTTAAATATGTTATAAAAATTGATGATTGTAAAAAAAAGTTCTGAAGGTAAAGGTTTTTACTAAACTTTTCTTAAAAGCTGACGAGTGACATAACTTAAAAAATAGATGCACACAGTGGTTAGAGCGTTTCCTCTAGAGTCGCGGTGTAAGGAGTTGATCCTTACGTTGCGGGTTCGAATCCCACTGTAGGACGTGGTGAATCCCACTGTGGGACGTGGAGACCGGTCCTTCGGATGAGACCGTATAAACCGAGGTCCCGTGTCGCAGTAGGTGCTGGCACGAATATGATCCCTCACTGTTCAATGGCCCTGAGTGCCGAGTATATGTCAAAATTTGCAGCTCTCCGCCGGCAAGTGGTGGCGTCTCAATATGAGTGAAAAATTATCGAGAAAAAAAACAAACAAAAAACCTTAAAATAGAGGACCCACCTTCAACTTCTGAAAAAATGTAAAAATTCTTATTAGCCACACGCGAATACCTGTAGGATATTTTGCATAAAGATGAATATATGAACTATTTTCTGTATGCAAACTTTGGAATCCTTACTTGGGTGTGGCCACATTCAAATTTTGAAATAACTAACTTCATCGGTATAATTGATGCTGCCTGCGCATGTGCTAAAGACTGTGGCCCGTGTAGCCAAAAAATGTACGTAGAGTAACAAAACATTGCACTATAATATTACATACGACAGGCTTTGCAGAGTACAGAATATAACACCCCTACCAATGTTGTTGTTATTTAAATTTACATCACGTGGTTTTTCTTGAACTAGTCAAAGGTCATTAGGTTCGCAGTGAAGGAGAGCCTTCACACCTATAGTCTGTTTTCTGTATAAAACTCATGACATACCAGTTCCGAGTAATACAGCAAAGTCCTGTATATATATAACTATGTAAACGATTTCATCCAGTTGTCAAAGCAGATCCACGCAAAAGTCATTGTCATCATTTCAATATATTAACAGATTATACCGGTACTTCATCTGACTTTCAACATTCTATTCATTTGCATTTTCTACATTAATGAATATTATTTAATTCCTTGAGAAATATACATCAAACTTATGCATGTTATAAAACAATATTTCCCTCATCATGTTTCAGGAATTTCTAATAGTACAGTAAAATAAAAACAAAAACAAAACAAAAACAAAAAAACTGACCAAAAGTTGGGGGGGGGGGCAACTTTCCAATTATTTGACAAGCAAAACAATTAAAAAAAAACAAAACAAACAAACCTAAAATGACCAAATGTGGGAGAGGGGGACAACTTCCCAAAATTATCTGACAAGCAAAAAAAAAAAAAAAAAAAAAAAACAACAACCAGCATCTAAAGAAAAATTTAATAGCAAAATACTATACTCAGAAAAAGTGCCCCCCCCCCCTCCCCCCGCATTCTACAGGCCTTTAGTAGGGTTCCAATAGCTGATAACCCCTTCCAGGCACGGATGTGTGTGTGTGGGCGGTGGGAGGGTGGAGGTCCCTAGGATGTTCATAGCTATATATTAAATTTAATAATAAAGTACGTTTAACTTATATGACTTGGATCCTCCTCGGATTCATGGTCATCTACACATGGCAAGTTGGTTAGAGAAGTCGAAAACGCGCAGGAAACTAAAGCAGCTTGTTCCTGAGAAGTGCCCTCTCCCCCCAAATAGTTTTTTTTTTAGTTTTAACATGTTTTTTTTTTTTTTTTTTTTTTTTTTTTTTTTAACTTTCCAACTTATTTTTATTGGGAGGAGGGGGATCCATGCATCCCTCATTCCAATATTTTTTTCTCCTCTTTATACTTGTTTTTTTTACTACCTGTTTTGGGGCTTTACTGATTTCCAGGGCATCTAGGAGAGGTTTTTTTTTGGAAGCATTGAGGGATCCTGGAATTCTTCCCCCAAAAGGATTGGGGGGGGGGGGTGTTACATACACACAAACCCTAGCAAGAATTATAAAGTGGCAAAAACAGGGACTTAAAAATCAAGTATGATAACCCTAAAAATAACTATAAAATAACTATAATTTATGCCTAGTACATGTATTTATTTTCTAGCAAACTTTATAATTCTTCAGGGAGGTAGAGAGGGGGAGGGGTCATTAGAACCCCTACAAGCTTTTTCTGGATTTCCAGAATATACTTAATTGTCCATTCAATGGTCTATCTGTGAATTTGAAAAATATTGGTGTTTGTAATGAAAAAAGTATCAAATGAACATTTCAAGAAGAAAAAAAATCTTATCCCAAACGAATGGTGTTCTTTAAGCACAGTATTTCTGCAAGACACACAAAACAGCTTTAAATCTGGAGGGTGGGGGTTGTCAGATTTTGCAATAACGTACCATACCATTCTAGTCTGCCCCTTTTAAATCTGGCTGTTACATGTAGGTGTCAAACTGACCCATGACCTCCCCCAGGTCAAGGTGAGCTAAAATTCTTCACATATCTATTAAAAAGAATCCTTATTGTATGTGCCCTTACCATAGAACCCAGGGTTGTTTAACAATCCTGAGTTAAAAAAAAAAGTTAAAAATCTAGAATATATACATGTAGGGTTCCTTCTACAAACATTAAACTTAGGTCATTCTTGGGCAAAGATCCAAAAACGTTTTCTAAATATTACCATGCATATAAAATTTTATTACCCATTTTTTCCCAATCTTTAAATATTTTGAACCTCTGTTTTGGCCAAACACTGATCACAGCTCCAATGATTACAAGGTTCAATATACATGATATAAAAACACTGTTTAATAATGGCACAGTTTATTTCAACATAATTGAATACTTGTACAGAAGATCGACAGATGCTTAACACAGTGAGGAAAGTTAACATATAAATAAATTTTATGCTCTTAAGCTTTTAGCAAAACAGTCATACATTATTCAGATACTAAAAGATATTTTTCCACTGTGAAAGAGGGAAATAACTCTGGGAAGACCAATAATTTGTGTACAATATATGTAAATAGTTTGATAGTAGCAATTAATTTCATTTGTGATATATACTTGAATTAAAGTCATATTCTATGCTTGAATTCAAATCAGCAGAATTCAGAACAAAACCTTTCCCACTCTCTGAAATAATATTGACAAAGAATCTATAGTCAAGGGAGATAATTCAATAAAAAGCCATATGAGCTGCAATCTTCATGTTTAATTTTTTTGTTGTTGTAAAATTGTAGTTTATCACTGCAGTATTTCAATGACAGAAAAAAGAAAGGATTATAAACTTCTATTATTCGTATTTACATCAGAAAGACTTTTTGGAAATTCTAATTGATGAAAAAATTACATTGTTACCCTATACAAAAATTGACTCCTATATATATTACCTATACATTTGATGCATTAAAAATAAATTTTCTTTTGATAAAATTTATTACATTTTAATGTTATGCTTTTCAAAGTTAATAAGCCATTTAAACAAAACACTTTATATTCATTGTCAACCACTTTTAAAATTGGATCAATACATGTATTATTTCAACCAGCCAGAGGATAAAATCATTCAAAATTGATCACCATATTCTGGATTCAATTACATCAGTGTCTGCTAGCATGTGTTTCATTTTTTGATTGTCTTTTTTTTATCTTCTGACAGTGTACACAAATAAAGGTCTCAATTGGAATCTTAAGACAGTGCTGATGCTGTCTTCTTTCATTAATGCATGATCTAGATTTAAAAAAACAAATCAAACAAAATCATTACCAATTATTCAAAGATTATACATGTATCACATCAGTCTGTTCTTGTATTACTCAAATCTAGTAGCTTAATAATTTCATAATAATTTGTGTAAAATGATTGACTATAGGCCTATGGACCATGATGCTCATCTGAGACAATGTCAAATGAAGATGAAATATGACCATAAATTTAAATTTAAACAAAAAGACCAAGAAATGGCAGGAATTCCTCTTTTTAATTCACAAATCATGCATATATCCAACCCCTACATACTGATTTGACATTGTCTGCATATTGTTTTCCATTCAAGTTGGATGATTTACGACTGGTTGACTGTTTCTATTATGTAATTTACTTCATTAGAAACAAATTGTCATAAAATATTGGTAGGGATTTGTTTTTAATTTTTATTCGTAGTTACTAAATGGTTCCTTCTTCACATGAACTAAGAACTGTTCTCATTTGGTCGACCTACCTTTCAGCATCTGTCACATCTTTGCCTTTCCCAGCATAGCTATGGTAAACGACATTGTCTCTCTGTCCCCTAAACACAATGTACAAAAAACAATCACTACTTTTCTTTCTTCCTGTATAGATAATTCATATGTGCTTTTGTTTACCTCTGTAACATACATTTTATTGGTTTTCACTGCATGGAGAATTCTACATGGGAGATCACTCTCAGTCACTATTTTATAAGGGAAAAAACCCCCATGTATTTAACCTTTTTTCTTTGGAAAACCTTGCCTTGCCAATGTCCTTAAATGAACAAAAAGTGAAGCATTCTGCCATTTAATCCATCATTTCATCCAAACAACCTCTTAAAAAAGATTTTAAAATTTCTTTGTGGACAAAGGGATTAATACATTAAATAATGCATGTATAGAACCTTTCTCCATATATGCAATATCATCCCATATATTTACATGTATGTTTAAAATCAACAATATTACATGTACCATGATTACCTTGTCCAACTTAACATGTACCTTTAAAAGAGTTCTTTTTCCTCATCCTTCAAGTAGTCTTAATATCTACATCCACACTGATTTCAAAGCTTCTTTGTCATAAATACCTAAATAAATAAAGTAGAATATTTATGCATTTGAAATAGTGTGTATTATAATGATACTTTTAATGCTATGGTGACATCATAAAGTTAATGAGGTCACGTTTATGAATATTAGCAAACATTTGTTAACGGTAGTTAGTTTTGTAATTGTCTGAATTAAAAAGCCATGAAGAATTAGAAAGCATTTACAGTTAAAATAATTCATTTGTGTTTTGTGAATTTTGACTTTTTCATTAGTTATACCCGTATACATGTGTACCAGTACTTTACTGTACTAAAAAAATGGATTTTTCTCAAACTATACGATATCATCTTATTTTTATTGCATTTAGAGATCTAGAGAGAAATGAAAATATTTGAAAGACAAAATCTAACATAATCTAACACAGTAATTATATATCAGTCTGTCAAATTTAGAACAATAAAGGGTAAATGATTATATATGGCCCATGGCTCACCTGAATCTCCTTGGCCCCTACCCCTTTTTATCATAATTTTTTTTTTACCCAATTGTATTCCACCCTTTCCCCATGGTCTTGATTTGAACAATCTTCAATCTGCACTACTTAAGAATGCTTGTATATATTTCATATCATTCTAATCATGGCCCTGGAGTTCTTGACAGATTTTCATATATCTAAAATCAAATGTAAAAATTGTATTCCTACTGTGGACCTACTCTAGTAGGCTACTGCCCAACCCACCAGGGCAATGATAACCAATCTATGCTATATAAGGGAGCTTTCATGTCTGGTCTGTGGTCATTGAGTAGAAGATTCTGAAGTTAAACCAACATATCTATTGACCTTCCTTTGAACTTTTTTAAAACTTTAATTCCCTTTATTCAAGAATACTTTGTGCCAATTAAGTTGGTTGAAATTGGCAAATGGATCTGAAGAAGAGAATGTGAAAAGTTTACAAAGATGACACCAAGGACAACAATACTCACAATGAATACACCAATACACAACAGACACATATTTCAATCAGAAACTTCTCTGAGTCTCTGGACCTATGGACTTACACTTTTGACAAATCCTTCATATGCAGTACATTGAAATTGCCTCTGTATGTCTTGATGTGAGTGGGCTGTCACTTGAAATAAGGGTTCCCTCCCTGACTTGTGCTGAGGGATCTTGTAGATGACTGATTGTCCAATCCCATGCCTCCACTGTGTTTCAACATACTGAGGTATGGGGCGATGGAAGTACAGTTCCAGAACTTTGTGAAATAACATTGCTGCAGAGACCTGAAAGTTATATTAAAATGTTTATCAACATGAATGCAAATGTTGTACAACATTGCATAAAACCCTATGGTATAACTTACAGTCAAGATCTAGGGCTGGGATTCATAAAACTTCTTAGTGTAATCTTAAGTTTAAAAAATCACTTAAGTTTTATATTTTATACTTAAGTCCCCTAAGTATTACTTAAATTTGGTAGAAATACTTAAGTGTAATTCATAAACATATTTAGTGCTTAAATATTGACTTAAAGTTAAGTGTCCTCAGGGGGTGTCGTAAGTAGATAAGAAATACTTAAGTTTCTTTATCAAAATAAAAATAATGCTTTACAGAAGACATTTTACTCTTTCAGTAAGAAACCATGCTATTAACAACTAGAAACTTGTTTTGACTTTGAGATGTTTATCAACTGGTAAGATGCAGTATTGTGCAATGTTGATGACAAAGTTGTATCAGTTGTGATGTAATACACATGGAACTAAATACCTCCATCACAAAAGAGTGCGCTTTTTGTTCGGGAAATTGTATGCGTTGCTAGGGTGACCTAACTTAAGTGCTCTAATTTTCTCAAAATTAAACTTAGCTAAGAATTGCACTTAGGATTTATATGAATATGACTTAAGAATTTTTTCTTAGCTAAGAATTTATTTTATACTTAAGTGTGAAACTTAGCACAAATCTTAAGTATGTTTATGAATCCCAGCCCTAGTAAATACTGTCTTTTTGGTGCGAGGTCCATTATGACATCATAATTAATTTAAGGTAGTACACAATAGATAGGCCAAATTTTTCCTCAAATTCAATTTTTTTGAAACTTTGATATTTTGTTCTAGGATACAAAATCTCTATATACAATATGAAAGAAATTCATCTGCACATTTTTTGCCCACATAGTATGAAATATGGCCTATCAGACCCCTGTAAGAAGATTGTGAAATCAGAAATTCAACTAGAGAATGTGCCTTATTTGAGTAAAATATGATGTAAAACGAGAACATACGCAGCCCCGGAATTGAAAATTCACATGTAAATATGCTATGCTTTAAGTTCTCTCAAGAGAAAATGTATAATTCAATTTTTACAAAAATCAACAGATTGATTAAAATGGATCATAGATTTAAATGTGTCAAAATAAGGAAAATTAGCCAATGGTTTCGGATATTTTGGTGATTAAAAAAATTTCAATAGCAAAAAAGTGAAAAATTCAGTAGATGACGTCACAATATTTGAACTTTGACCTCTTAATATGACCTTGACTTTTATTTACATAAAGAATGGAGACTCTTTATATAAATGTCCAAATATCAGCCCTCTACTTTTTATGGATCAAAAGTTACACTGCATTTAATAACAGACTTATACATGTGTACTGCTTTAAGACAGCATAAACACATTCTAAGCTTCCAAGTGACCAATATGTTGGATGTCTCTACTTTTTAAAGAAAAAATGACAAAAACATGTCATATATTAGCTTATTATTTTACTTACAAAGATTGTCGACAATATAGGGATATCATTCTTTTTCTCATGTAATTTTTAAGAAATTAGTTAAAATAGATTTTATGGGTGTTTTGTACTACCTTAAACTTACTTTTTCCTTTACTTTATGGCTATAATAACTATGTGGAAAATGAAGCATTTTCATGGAATTCAATTTAAATCAAGTCAAAGTAACCAAGATTCCTATATTTAGTTTAATTAATACCATTTTAAAGTAGAGGTGATTCAGAAGAAGATATGAAAAAATGTTTTCTGAGAGACTGTCAGCAATATTTATATATTATAGTTCCTTGATCTGAGATGGAAAAGAAAATTCCCATATTAATATCTGATTTTCTTCAATTGTCATTGAAAATGGCAGTCTGAAATATATTTTTTCACGAAGTTTACCTAAAAATTATGCCCCAATACACCTTAAATTACTAAACTATAGTTATAAAGGATCAATAAAAGATTACATTCAATTTGCAAATTCAAGAAATCTGTAGGAACCTTTCATTTACTAGATCTTGGCCTTAATAATCTAAAAATGTGTGAAATAGCACATAAAAAATTCAGTAGTCAGTACCAGACCAGACTAACAGCTTGTGTATAAATTTGAAAAGATGTCAGATGTATCAATTTGGTGCAGATTTTATTAATCATTACAATTAAAATCTTTGAAATTAGTTCCTCTGTCTATAAACTTGCTCTGCATGCAGTATATTGATATAAAACACTTACACAATTTAAGAAATGTCTTCATTTATATTTAGTTTTGTTAAAATTGACTTCAGAGATGATAGTTTTTAAAAACAATTTTTGTAAAATTGTACATGTATTTATATCGAAATTGAACACATTGAAAGTAATTATCTATATTGGTCGTAATCTTGTGCTGTTCAGTGCTGCATACTGCATAAAAGATTATTTTCCCTCTTTTTTTACTTTTTAACATGTTTAAATAACTATACAAGCACATACATATATTTATCACCTAAATCATTAAAAAGGCATATGCACAGATTCAGGTGGGGGCACTCCTGGCACTAGCCCCTTCTACCCCCCCCCCCCCAAAAAAAAAAATGTTTCAGATTTATATTGTTTTCTCTGTCATATTATACAGATTTAATAAAAATTGAAATTAGAGTCATTTTAAAGTTCTCTAATTGCTGATTCTCGTGATTTTCAGGGGCTTTACCTCCCACCTAACACTGTCCTTGATCCTTTAAGGACATTGGTGGTACCTGGAGACCCCTCCCCAATTAATTAAGAGTGTGTGCCCTCTTTAATGCAAAATCCTGCATCCCTCCCTGTAAAAGTCATTTATTTCAAAGTAAACTTAGATTATGATAAGTAATATTACGGATTGTAACAGCATGTTAGATACATCTTTTGTATTCAGGTACCAAAATCATATTCTCTACATTACTTTGTTCACATTTGTCTGCTTCTGATTACATGCAAAGATGTCATTATTATTGTAAATATAGGTGCATAGGCTAATTAAAATGGTATTTAATATAGATGGAGTATGAAATTTCCATAATCTTAAACCTTACCCCTCGATCAACAAAGAATTACTAGTAAAAATATCAAATATACCTGGTAAAAAGCTCAGTGTCTGCATAATGTTTCAGGTTTGGAAATAAAAGTGATAACAATAATCAGTGAATTAATCAGAACATGAATTTTATTCTTTAATACATGAGTATGGTATAGTTATGAGTTTAACCTTTATCAAGTTTATATATGTTCACCACATGATGATCTCTCTCTACTGATCATTCATCATGTGGACACATGGGCATAGTCTCAAGCAAGCTTTAGGGCTGTGTATAGAGCAAAATATTTCGATACAATACAATATTTTATTATGCGATATATTGGATTCTTTAACAAATCTATCAAAAAAGTCTTATACATGAATTTTATTAAAACTAATTGTTTTGCAACTTATTTTAAAGTTATTGTCTCAAAGTCATTACAAATTACACTTCAAATTCAAACTTTTAACGACTGTGATTGTCAAATACAGATGTCTATGTATTTTGTAATAATTATCTAAGATGTGCTACCTCCTCAATGATTATATCATTATTGATCAATTTTAATTCAAAAAAGTTAATTATTTTTTTTAAATCTGATTGGTGATTGAAATTCCCAACTTTTTCGAGCCTGAATACTGTTCGTTATCTTCATACATTTCATGAAAAACTGCCTGCCCAATACGTATTGGAAGTTATTTTTTACAATAAAATACATTCTTGAATATCGATACGTATTGATATATTATTGATACGGCCCTAGTAAGCTATAGCTATGCAATTAAAATATTAGAGAGGTTGAGATTTCATATGTTTACGGGTACGTCTAGTAGGGGAATTCCCTAAATTTCTCGCGTATTACATCATCAGTTTTGGTGTTGATAAATTTTCTACACGTTCCTACAACTTGTAAAAAGGCAGGTGATCTACACATATGTGTAAACTTGTAGCTTTTTCAATAAAAACTAGTCAATTTATGTGTGAAACTGTTATTGCTGTTCATTATTAAGGATGTTAAGTTTCATGAACACTTATTTTAACCATTTTTTGTTCACTAATGTCACAAAACTACTATAATTAGTTGAAACAGAGACACCGATTGCAGTCTACATGTTCATGTTACACGTCATTAAAATCTCAACAGACAAATTACAAAAAACATGTACGTCAAAGTTTGTGAGAGAGAGATAGACACAGAAAGACACGTTTATAAATTTAGTTGTATGATTACCAGCTGATCACTTGACAGATGTACATTGACCACCTCTTATATTTTTAATGTCACTCATTTTATATTCAATTAAGCATTTCTTCACAATGTTATTCATATCACATGCAATCAGCTGAGAAATTACCAGTATGAGTGTGTGTATCAGCTGTTGTAAAAAGTAAAACAGACTATAACATTTTCTGCACATTGAATCATTTTTCCCCTTCTTAATACTATGGTAAAATATTTCACAACACCAAGAACAACATCAATTATTTTGTATAATATTTTAAAAACATTGACAAGCCCAAAGTATTTTTATAGTTTCAAAAGATTTTTCTTTTTCCACCACGTGGAGGCATGTAAACAAAGGACGATAACTCTAAATGTATATGATTTACCGTTTCTCAATGCAAGTGTTCGAGGCGATAGAATTCGAGAAATAATGACTAAATGAATCAATTTTTATGTGCAAAAGAATGTTTAAGTGAATAAAGGTAAATAAAATGAGCTATACTTACGTTAAACGCATAAATCCAAAACCACACATCCAGTTCCTGTCTAAATCTAACAGGAACTGGTGCAGATCTCGTACAGTCTCGAGGCCGGTCTCGTTAGAGGTCAAATCGCCCCCTCGGATGTTATGCTACGCTTAACAACGATAAAGAATATCATCCGAACACATTGGTAGGGGTGTATAAGCATTTTAATAAAGTTTTCTGTGGTGAAGGGGAATACATTTCTTTACCTTGCGTTATGT